TTTTTTCAGGTTTCTTTGATGAATAGAAAGTTCAGAAGAACAGCATTTATCTGAAATAGAAATCTTTTGTAACATTATAATCTTTTTGATCAATTTAAAGCATCCTTGCTAAATAAAAGTATTATAAATAAAATAAAATTGCAGCGCTAAATAACATTTCTATAATTCCCCCCCCCTCTCAACTGTTTAAAATATTGATCATCATCAAGTCAGTATATTAGAATTATTTCTGAAGATTTAAAATAACTGCTTTCAAATAGAAAGCAGTTATTTTAAATAGTAAAAATAATTCAAAATTGTACTGTTTTTGCTGTACTTTGGATCAAATAAATGCAGCCTTGGTGAGCAGAAGAGAATTCCTAAAAAAAAACAAAAAAACAAAACAAAAAAAACATTAAAAATCTTACAGTTAAAAAACTTTAGACTGGTAGTGTAGGCTGATTATTCTTATAGATTGAAACAAATGTGCTTCAGCCAGGATAAAGAATATGAAAAGTGCCCTGAGTTGCTGCAGAAAACAAAAAAATTGAGCAACAACAAAAACATGTTGCTGGAGATGGGCTTATTATTGAAAATGCAAATTCATTCTCTGCCAGCAGGAGGCGCTTTTAGAGAGATAAAACTAGCGGTTTCCCCGGTAATGGCTGTAATCAAAGCAGCTCCGCGCATGAGCGCTACTTTACCAGATCAAATGAAAATGTCATCGAAACTTTTCTGAAGACAGTCGGTTTCCTTCAGAGATACATTCATATTCAGTAGCATTTACTACACAGAGCCGTTGTTCACTGACAAGCTGCACAAAACCACGTTCATAATCGCGCGATTTTTTGCGCAGCTCGTCAGTGAACAACGGCTCTGTGTAGTAAATGCTACTGAATATGAATGTATCTCTGAAGGAAACCGACTGTCTTCAGAAAAGTTTCGATGACATTTTCATTTGATCTGGTAAAGTAGCGCTCATGCGCGGAGCTGCTTTGATTACATTCATATAAAACACCCGTGCCGTGTTATGATTTTGAAACGTGCAGTCCTCATGTTTATTCCACGAAGTCGTCGCAAATAAATCAATGTATGGGAAACACTGGTAATGTATATCGAAATATCGGAAATGTGTTTAAAAATCATATCACAGTTATTGAAAAAAAATTATATCGCGATACATATTGATATTTAATTATTGTCCAGCCCTAAAATACAAACCCTTCAACAAGCAAAATCTCATCCTTTTAACAACACAAACACACACAGGAGTCTCTAAATATCACAACCTCAAAAGTGGATTTAAAACAGCCGAACTCACATCATACTAACGATTTACTGTTTACTGAACCGTAGAATCCATCTACACTAATCCAAACAGACACAACTTCACCTCTGAGATCCTTAAAGCAGTCTGCTTCAAAAATAGTGCACATCAAAAATACAGCTCAGGTATTTGTTATGTGAATCTCATGTCTAGGTCATATTTCACCAGCCCCATTTTTCTTAAAGAAAAAAATATTAACTATTAATTAAGCATATTTGTTCATACAAGACTTGGACATGTTCTAAACAGGTTTTTTGATGATTTTGTGTACTGTTAATTCATATAGTTAACTTTGTTTAAAGTTCTCAAAAGTTCAGGGTCGGTAGGATTTTTATTTTATATTTGAGTCTCTTATGCTCACCAAGGCCGCATTTATTTGATTAAAATACAGTTATTAAATATTTTTACAATTTAAAATAGCTATTTTCTCTGGCATCTCTCCGGCAGCCATTACTCCAAAGCTCAGTGTCACATGACCCTTCAGAAATCATTCTAATATGCTGATCAAGAAACATTTTTTATTATTATCGATGTTGAAAACAGTTGTGCTGCTTAATATTTTTGTAGAAATTGTGATACTTTTGGTTTAGGATTCTTTGCTAAATAGAACATTTTTTTTCAAAATAGAAATCTTTTGTATCATCATAAATATTTTTACTGTCACTTTTGATCAACTTAATGCATCTTTTCTGAATAAAATTATTAATTTCTTTAAAAAAAATCGTAATTTTAAGCTTTTAAACGGTAATGTGCATTTAAATACAAACAAATGTTATATTAGTATATTATATCCTGTTAAAATGTTCTTTTTACTAAACCTAAATTTAGTAAAAAAAAAATGTGACCCTGGACCACAAAACCAGTCATAATGGTCAATTTTTTTGACATTGAGATTTATACAGCATCTGAAAGCTGAATAAATAAGCTTTCCATCGATGTATGGTTTGTTAGGATAGGACAATATTTGGCCGAGATACAACTATTTGAAAATCTGGAATCTGAGGGTGCAAAAAATCAAAATATTGAGAAAAGCGTCTTTAGAGTTGTCCAAATGAAGTTCTTAGCAATGCATATTACTAATCAAAAATTAAGTTTTGATATATTTACGGTAGGAAATGTACAAAATATCTTCATGGAACATGATCTTTACTTAATATCCTAATGATTTTTGGCATAAAAGAAAAATCGATCATTTTGACCCATACAATGTTTTTTTTGGCTATTGCTAAAAATATACCCAAGCAAATTAAGACTGGTTTTGTGGTCTAGGGTCACAAATGGTAAAAATCTAAACTTTGATAAAAGACAGTTTGGCTGATGGACGTGACGCATTTAGATTAGTAGCAGAAGCCGTACTAGTCTTCATTTTATTGGGGTCTAGAAAAAGAAAAAGTGATGCTGGTCAATGGTGGGTTTACGTACTTTTACTGACAGACCAGCCAATCGGAAAACAGAAAACACAAGCATGTCAAAACAAGGAAACAACAGGCTGAAGAAAAATGACTGATCTGTTTTTTTAAGTACAAACCCTCCGTGTGAACAGCTCCTCGATGCCAGGAGTGGCCATTCATTAGAACAGAATAGAATAGAATAGAATAAAGAACAATAGAGTAGAATAGAGCTGTCAAGCAGTCATGGCATGAGGGAAACTGACTAACAAAGCAACTCTAAACTACACGGACCAATATCACGTGTTGTTTAATATTGTGATAAAATTGGTCTCGACCATGACTGACAAGTGTGATTGCGCCACTCCTGTACATGCAATAACATGCACTGAGGTTAAAAAAGCACAAAAGCCAAACCGAAAGGGCTTGAAACTATACAATATACAGTACGTGCATGGTTCTAACTCACCCCCTTTGAGTCAGCCTCATGAAAGGAGAAAGACAGACACCAGGGAGGAGGAAAAACATATAATTGAGTGAGAGGGCCATGTTGACAGGGCAGAGGTGAAACGAAAGTGCATATGCATGTGTATTTGTGGCTTTGCACTCACATGGAGTCGTTTCTGGCGAGCTGGCCACTGTGATGCACACTTGTGTTCTCGCTGACCGAGCGCTCTCTATGTGTCCTGGTTTGCATGCGCACCTGTGTGAAGCAGAAAAAGTAAATACAGACAGGTGTTCCTCATTTTATTAAACCCAAGCTGACACATTGTTATTCTTTTTTTAGTGACGTTCATTACCAGTCACATTTACACAGCTTCCGTCTTGCTAAACGTGGTCTGCCCCACTTACTTCTTCGCTGGGCTGACTGGCGGAGCTCGGCTGCTCCATTTCGAGAAAGTCGATGGGCCTTTCGCTGAGTGTGAGGACCCGAGGTGGTGTCTTGAGGGACAGTGTTGACTCCAGTGGGGTGGACTGGATGAGGTCCAGATCTCTGGGAAACTGCATGGAATTACTGTCTCCTACAAACGAGAAATAAAAGTCAGTGGGGTCCAAAACCACTTTTTATTATATAAACAAAAATCTCAGAGAATATTTACTAAAATAAAATCTTCTTTTGTGTTCCACAGAAAATTATGGAAGCCCATAATTGGAAGCCCATAATTTTTTCTCATAATTGCGAGTTTATATCTCGCAATTCTGTCTTTATAACACGCAATTGCGTGTTATAAAGTCAGAATTGCGAGATGAATTGCGAGATATAAACTCGCAATTCTGAGAAATAAGGTCAGTTGCAATTCCAGTTGCATCGTCCTGATGTCAGTGAGTTTCTTCAATGAGTTTATAGTTAAATGCCTGAAAAAAAGGTCTGTGCTTAAGACAAGATTTTCACGTTTAATTCTAAATAAAATACATCAAATTTACTAGTCCGCTTTATAGCATCATTGTGTTTAAAATCACATTCTTGCTAACTATTCTAACTCAAACTGTCGGTGAAAATGTTTTTTTAAATATAAAGAGTGAAAGCTGTCAGAAGCTTAGTGGTGTAGTTCATTTATAGCCTATGTTTAGCTTTTTATTTCTGGTGTTTGTATATAGACTTCAAAAGTCATAAAAGTTGTGCTCATTTGTGAATATTATCATGATGAACAAAATATGTGAGTATCATGAACTTTTGTTGGTCACAGAGCCTATTTTCGGCAATAATCCAAAAGCCAATGGAAAAATCCTATTGGGTTTTTGTCAAGGGAACCACGGTGATGCGAACTTCTGGGTTAGCCAACAAAAATCATCACCGCAGCACTCAATACACTCTTCTATCCCACTTTAAGGTGCAAAGATCTTCCCATTTCATACCTGCCACTACAATTCTCTCGGGAACGTGCATCATTGCCGTGTGGAGCATCTCATGCTCTGAAAGTTCCTGCTCTTCAGGGTCATACGGAGCCACTTTGAGCTGCTCAGGAATACGCATTCTCTGACTGATGCCCTCTGTGTACTCCAGCTCATAGTGGATCCGGTTCATCTCCGCCATCTCGGCTGTGGGAGAGGGGAAAGCTGCTCCATTCATCTACAGGGAAAGAGGAAGAGGCCTGTGATGTGAGGACCTAAACATGTCAATCAATCAAAAAATTCTAAAGGAATGTGCACAGAATTCCTATTGGAATTCTATCATACATTGATTTGAAACCAATCTGAAAAGATTCAAATGGGATCAAATAGGAATCCTCTAAAGACTGGAATACACAACAACACAACTTTAAAAATATGAACAGATTTTTAAAACACTAGGCATCATATACTTATCGACTTTGTAAATAGTGACAAAGGAAAACTGGCCACCATACACTACATGACTGGGGATCACACACTACCAGACTTTCAAGTTGTTCCGATCACAACAAAATCATGCAGAAACGTGTGCCTTGTTGCTAGGAGACGCGTGACAAATGAAAACAACATGTCTTCTAAAATGGCTGAAAAGCTAAAAAAAAATCGTAGTCTGTGACCATCACACACTATGCGATTTTCTATGGAATCGGTCAACTCCAATCTGCAGACTGGCACTGACTTTTGGCAACTAGTGTCAACTTCTCCAGACAGTAAATCGGTGGAAAATCGGGGCAAACATTTGTGTAGTGTATTCCAGGCTTAAGAATCAAATACAATCTTAATGGATGCACACAATGTTTTGATATTTTCTTCTGTTAATTCTTTCCTGTACTGTGCTGAATCATTTTGAATTAGCTTTTATTTTTATGTTTTCATTTTAATTATAGTTACGTTTTAGTAATTTTCTTATGTGCATTTGTCATTTTCATTATTTTTTGTTTTGTTTTTTATTTCTATTAAACTTTAACCTATTTTTATTTCATTTATTTTTTTGTAATTTTAATACTTTAATACTAAACTAAACTTAAAGTAAACTTTAATACTTTAGTAATTTATCTGATACTAAACTTTTTTTTAATTTCATTTAGTTGCCATGGCAGAATTTCTCATTTTTAGTTTAGGTTTAAGTTTTTCATCTAATATCTATATTTTATTTCTGTTACCAAAAACAATTATTACTAGTATTAGTTTCGGTTACCAATAACAACACTGGTTCTAAATGATCTGGTTTGGTTATGATTAAATCCAAAGAAAAATCCAATGAAGATCCCTTAGAATTCCTTCCAAATTATAAGACAGAATACCTCCAAACACCAAACAATGCTTCATAACCTTTCATACAGCAAAACCAGAATCACAGGTTGTCCAACCTGGCCTGTGACATTTTCCCCCAAATACAAAAAAAGCTCATAAGACTGTCAGCTTGGTTGTGAGGTAACTAAATAATACTACATTTATGTAATAAAGATAAATAACCGATCCACCCACTATCATGCCCTGATCCTGAGGCTAAACTGAAGCACAGAAAGGAAAGCAGCGGTCATCTGTATCTTGTGGTTTGAACACGAGATCAACTATTTCAGGAAGCAAAATGCCACTGATTACCCTGGCAGCTGCAAAGTTGAAACCTTAGTAAGCATGCCTACTGAATGTATGCTTTTGTAAATTGTGTTTCAGGAAGTTATCCAACAAAAACAACATCAATATGGACGTTTTTGGTTTCATGCTGGATACAAGGCAGCATTGACAGCAGCAGTAACGTTACTACAGTAAAAGCACTTGCAATGTTTCGTTTTGAATGTTTGGGTGGACCAATTCATATCAAACAGAAAATACATAACAAGGATAAGAACTTTAATGTACCATATTTGGGCCCTAAAAACTGTGGAAATAAATGATGAGTACACCAGGGCCCCAGAGTACATCAATGACAGCTGATAAAGGGCCAAAACCACATCACAACTCTTTTAGACTCATACCTTCACCGAGATCAGATCCGCCGACCGATTTGAGACGTTAAAGTGAAATGCAATCGTAAAATCCGAATATTTTGTGGCTTTTCAGAAAAAGACTATCAGCTCAACCTGCTCAACCCAGAACGCACCACAGCTGCGTGAAGCTGGCGGACACTGTTGAACCGTAGTGACAAAAGAGCGCAAGAAGCGCCTTTTCAAAATAAAAGTCCATCACCATGTCATTTAAAAGTCACGCGTTTTCACTTTCTCTTCTGGTAAAAGTTTGTTAATTATCACAGTCTGTAAAATATCTTTGAACTAACATAATCATTTACAGTTCAAGTTTATTTTGGGTTGCGATAATTAAAAAATAATTTAATTATTTAAGAATGATTTCTGTTAAAGTTGTTTGACTTTTTGATTACATAAAAAAAAACATGATGCTGATTAGACCCGTTAAGTTGTGGTAAATTGTACATTTTCTGTTACTTCACATGCAATAATGACTACTACAGGCACAACACGAAACATTTACATTTAGTATAATTAAACCTAATTGGTTTGTATTGTGGTATTACAAAATCAAAAGGATATTCATAAATGTAAAACACAGAATTTGGGAAACAACAGCTATGTTATAGAGGGCATCGTGTTTCCATCGTGGCCCCTAGCGGTTGCGTGTGTGCGCGCGTGTAGTAAGTGTGCTTGGAAGTGCGCTGAGCGATTATCCAGTCTGTCTCAGTGAGAGCGGTTGAGGATACCAGCTCCATGACTTTAGGATGCTCGATTATTTCAGTCTGCAAGGATGAAGTTATTAACTACAGCACCTTACTCGTGTATAATGAACTGATCGGACCCTTTAAAGTGGACGGTGGGCCCCTGAAACCTGCTCACCATAAGAGTGTTTACTGCATGCGGATGCTGTAAACGATGTGCTGCTCCGTGGCGCTTCTGCTTTGCTGTGTGATCGTGTCTCTGAACGGCGCAGCATCACTGGACCTGCAGCCCGACATGTGAGTGACTGTATTTTGTTTGATACTGGCTATATATTACATTTATTTTACATCAAGTTTTGTGGTCGCCAAAGTCGTAGACGGGAAATTCTTATCTGAAACTTAATTCCTACAAAAACACTTATAAATAATTTAAAATTCTAAGCATTTAATTGTTACATATCATAATGATCATGTATGTACATTAAAATAATAAGAAATGTCTTGACGTTTTAATTCATATAAATGTTCATTTTCACATAAAATATGCATTTACTTCTTATTTTTATATTTTTAGTGATCAAAGTTGTTATAAAGCGCGACTTAAATACATTTCGACTGAACAGGTTAAATGGTAAATGTGCCACCAGTGTTTTTAAGAAATGTAATCAGCTGAAAGCATTTCGCTAGCTCTTTGTTTTGGTACAGCATTAGCACAATAATTTAGAATGTGACACTGATTAAATGTAATTAAATATATTTAATTACATTTAATCAGCGTCACATTCTAAATTAGAATGCGTTGTTTCTGTAGTGATTTAATTGCTCTGTAGGTGTCGCCAAAAGCGCCAGAGTCCATGTGAAATTATATTCAAACATAAATGATCATTAAATAATTGAATTTATTCTGTATACACTTGATTATCATATTTTGAATTTGTACATATATATTCACCTAAATATGTATTGTTTCAACTACTGAACTACTGCACTGTAAGAATTTGTAAATACGTTAAACGTGACTGAGGCCAGAGAATCAACCCCTCACTGAGTCTCTGACACACTGACTACAGGGCTGTAGTTTGGCTATAGTTTAGGGCCAAAAATGATCCCTAAAAATGGTTTAAAAACCTCCCTTTGGAAATGGGAAGTATTCAGGTATGCTTCTAATGGGAAAATCTATTCATAAATGAAAGCATATCTTTCAGAGATAGGATTTGGCTTAGTTTATAGCGGTGTTATTTTATCATTTATATACTATCACTGTATTTATTAATATTTTGAATATAGCTAGTAAAATGTGTGTGTTGGTGCATGCAACTGATCGTTTGGATCCTGAACATGTGGTTCAGCATGTTCTTGGAGCATCAAACTTTACAAGCTGCGAGAACATTGTGTCAACATCCTAAAATTAGCTGTTTCCACAGCCACAAGATCTAAGAGCAGATCATTGATTTATTTTCTCAATAGCTCATAGAGTTATAGCATGATCAGAGCCGAACTGTAACGAGGCGTCAACAGAGTGAGGATCCATCTGCAGTTTACTAGAAATCATAATCAACAGGCACAGTCAAACACCAGCAAACACAACAGAGGAGAGAAGTCAAATCGTTCATAAATGTACACCGGGGCAATACAAGACTTCGCAATGAGGGAGAGTCTGAGAGCGGTTTAAATAGTCACCTAATGGGAATCAGGTGCAGGGCAATCAGAGCCAGGTATGTGTGTGTGTAAGTGTATGTGTAGACCGGATTGAAGTTCAAAACTTGGGAGAGAGTTCCCTCTGGTGGTGAGCAGGAGGCACAGCGGGAGTCTTGTTCGTGACAGTCAGATTACTTTTCTTAGGGAATTAATTATTATTAATTAATTCAGGTTTTGAGAGGACTCGAATCTGAAAATTCGGAAGATTTTTGTGATCCGTCAGTACCACGTTGGGGTGCTTTGATCCTTCTAGCCAGTGTCGCCATTCCTCCATGGCTGCTTTCATAGCCAACAGTTCCCTGTTACCGACATCATAGTTTTGTTCGGCAGAACTGAGTTTGCGAGAAAAGTAAGCACAAGGGTGAAGCTTAGGTGGATTACCATGCCGCTGTGAGAGAATGTGAACAAGATAGGTAATTATGACATCATCACTAAAGAAGGAGCTCTGATGTTCAAAGTCCAAAGCCCTGTCTCAAATAAGACTCTTTTATTTGATTGTTGCTGTTGTATGTGCACTTCATTTACCCTTAATGTGCCCCCACTGGTCTGGATTTCACAGCGGACTGCTATCGAACAATTCATGCAACATTACATAAGCAAACTGAGGAAGATCGAAATTGTATCCGGCCATCAATTTGAGACAGAAGTCTATGATGGGTCTTATAGAAAGTTCACCCAACAATTAAAATTAGCTGAAAATGTACTTATCCTCAGGCCATCCAAGATGTAGATGAGTTTGTTTCTTCATTGGAACAGATTTG